TGCTGTTACTTGCATTAAAACGGTTACGAATATATATTCAAAACCTTGCGCTGCCGCTTGTGAAAGGATGTAAAAATTTTCTAACACATGTGGTAGAATAGCAAAAAAATGAAAAAAATGTATTCATTCTATATTAAAATGAGATACCAAAGCATACAATTTTAAAGAAACAAATACTATTACAGCGGAATGGATACTAAGGAGTAACTTCAAAATACCCGGCCACAAATAGATGCATAGTTCTACGCGGCTACGTCGCTACATAGCTACGTGGCTACATAGCTACATAGCTACATGGCTACATGGCTACGTGACTACGTAGCTACCTGGCTACGACGCTACGCGGCTACATAGCTGCCTACTTGGTTAGCTGCTTCTCTGCCTATGTGACTACGTGATTATTATTGATTTATTACAAAACGTAAGCAAGCATACAGCCGTGCATGTACAACATCTTTATTTTTGACACCAATACAACTTCAGCAAACGCAACTAGATAATTTAAGACTAGTCTGAAATAGTTTATAAAACACGTTTACAGATGAAATTATTTACTTCATGCCTGAAACATTGAACAACAAATGAACAGCAAATGTTATTTTACTTGCTAATAACAAAATTCTGTCGTAGGTATCACGAATTACGCAAAAAAATCGTCCTTAACAAACTTATTTTCGACCAAATATATTTTAAGCCCTTGGGAAATAGCTGAGTAGCAATTCATGCGGTATTTCCGTTGATACTCATCTTTATCAACAAGAGAAGAATTCTGGAGACAATCAGCTTCAGGTACCGATTAAATAAAAACAAGTGTGTTTTGTGATCTGGAAACGCGCGCTTTCACCACTTTACCAAACTTTTGTCCCTCCAATTCATTTAAACAATGCTCAAACTCAACATCAGCAACAGCCCTGACTCTTCTTGGAGCACTCTGCTTAAAAGCACGTTTCGTTACAATGGGACCCTGTAACAGCATGACAGCTTCCTTGATCTCTAAATTGCTGGGTTGACCTCTCTTTTTCTCAACGACCACATCAGTTAGACTATCAATAAACTAAAATATGGCGGAAAAGAACAACGTAAAAAATAAACCAAAAAAATATTACAAACAGTGCTTGTTGCAAACGATTTTGTAATGGACAAACTTCGTATAATTCTAACAGTAAATCTTACCCTTACCCTAAAGCTAACCCTAACCCTAAAGCTAACCGTAACCCTGACTCCTACTGAACCCTAACCGTAAGCCTTGGTTTACCGGCTTCTTCTAATTAATGAGTGAAAGAAAATCGACTTACATATTACTATAATCGCTGCCTATTAATTTATTGTAATTATGTTAAGCACTTACATCTAGTACAATTTGTTTTTGCAATTCTGAAAAGTCGGCAAACATCTGTGCCTTCTTGACAATTTCCAGGCTTACTTCGACAGGAGGAGCACAAGGTTTTCTGCCTCTCAATAGACAGCTCGTCACGTGATTGAAAACGTGCAAACAAACAGCAACTCGTTGAATTATGTCAGATCTCTTCGACTTAGGTGTAACTTCTTCGGTCATGAGTGATTCGTTTAGTTCCTTGATGAAATCTTCATCTATGCCATCCAAATAGTCATTAGCTGCAATTGAGAAGGTGTAGTTCTTCTTAGAATGGTGCAACTCGTGAATTTCTAAGAAAATATCCGTCAAAGACGTAAAAGTCTCGGCATGCAGAGCTAATTTCTCTTTGGCTTCTTTGGTTTGGCTTGGAGTTGGTCGTAAACATAGCGGGAACAAGAACAAAAAGCGGTGCAATAAACCACTCCCATGGTCAAGTCGGCATAACAGCCGAATGCCATATGGGACTTGTGTTAGCCCAATGATACAACATGGAGTATTCGCTGGAATTTCCCGAGTACGTTCTGTCGCATAGCGATATGAAGTGCGCTTTCCAGAAAATAACTCGCATAACAACTGTACTTCACCCGTTGCATGATCCTCATCATTCTTTATCAGTTTGTCTAAAAGTCATATATCTCAGGCGAGCCAATAATACCTTCTTTTCCTCTGAGATACACTTGATCATCGCAGACGAAGTACACCGTAGGAAATTTCCTATGTCGTTGTCGTCTCTTATTGTTACGAGTGGTTCCATGCAACTTTTGCTCAATGCGACAGATTTCCCCGTGGTTGGTGGTCCAATCACTACAGAATACAGATTTACTGGCATCAATTGGTCTCCTCTTGCAATCACATTTGTTCTACCAACAAGAAATGCTGTAGTACTTAATAGACATGGCACAAAATAGCCTGCACTTGAGCTAACTGAATGCGAAATGTTCGTCACGAACTCTCCCACGGCTGAACCAAACAGACCGGAATAACTGAACGACATAGAAATTAACCTCTTGTGAAGTTCTGACCAAGTATTTTCATGTTGTTTGTTAACCTTTTGGAGTTTACACTGTGACACGACTGCAATAAAGGCAGGATATACTCAACTTCGCGACTGACGAAAACTGTGCGAAAACGAACCAACACGTAGCATTTCTTCAATACTATGAATATATAATTATTGTTTTCAATACCGTCTTCGTTAAAATTTTATTTAGTTGACTTGCATCTAAGGACGGAACCGGACTTAAAGCTTCATTAATATCATTAGCGAAACGTTAAATTGTTGATTCTGATTGGTTGCTGCCTCTGAATTTACATCCTTATGTCATAATGCTTCCTTGTTATTGGTTGTGACTAAACGTGGGTTGAAGCAGACTTAAAACCTCATTATCGAGACATATAATCACTGATTTTGATTGTTAGCTGCTTCCTGAATTTATATGCTTAGGTCAAAATGCTTGCTTGTTATTGGTCGTGACTAAACGTGACTGAATTGTCAACATATATCAATTGTATGCTTGTGTTGTGTACATACCATTGAATATCTTGCAGTAATATTTATGAAATTAAATGTACAGTGATAGTTGAACTCTGCTAATGTTCCTCTGAGAAAATTCGTTGTGGATGCTGTTATCGTAAAATTTAATGTGGTGGAATAACATAATAATAATTTTTTTTTCCAAACGAGTATTATTATTATGAACTATTCATGCAAGTCACACAAGGAAATTCGTATGGGGATTTTGCAATGTTCCTCATCGTAAATGACAATATTTTATTCACTAAATAATATCCTCTCAGAATTGCATGCTTGCCCGAATCATTCATTACAGTTATTACATGCACAGTGAATATCTTTCTGTAGAAAAAACGACACGGTGTACGTCAAACTTATTTGATGGAGAACGCAATCGTTGATTTAAATACTCTACTATTTAACTTAAGCAATACATTCCAAATTCTGTTTTCCGTTTACATACCTACTATTAATGCAGCGTTAGAGGAATCAGTTCACTACATACTATCATAAGTTCACAATGTCGCATTCATTTCGCCTTCATGACTTAATAATAAAGATCGGTAATAATTCCATACCCTACATACACATGAATATATTGTAAAACTATATCATCCCACTTTGGGATTTATCATTGTACACCATTGCACATAAGTAATGAATAATAAATTTAACGTATGGTACATGATAGTTATGACACAACATGCTAGATTTATATTGGTATGCACTGTTATTTTCAAGGTGTTATTTTAACCCCCAAAATAGGGGTTACAAAAAAAAGTCTAAAATGAGCCCTTTTTTGGGGTTAAAGTGATCCCCCTATGGGTATTAAAATTTAACCCCGATTTTGGGATTAAAATGACACCTATTTGGGTGTTAAAATGAACCTGTTGGGTATTAAAAATTTAATCCCGTTTAGGGTGTTAAATCTATTTAATACCAATGAGGGATTAAAACACACACGTGTTAAAATTATTAATTGTAAATTTTTAAAAGCTCACCTGCAATAAAAAGATTCAATTTTCTTGTTTTAAAAACATTTCTTTGATGGATTTAAAAAGAAATAAGGGGCGGCGCGCGATATTTTAGATAAAATATATATTTTGCTGTTGCATAGCAACGACTTTTACATTTAATCCTAATGCCGTAATAAGATGAACATCGACAGTCAGTGTCAGCTGTCACTTGCGCGAAGTCACCGTTAGGTCTTCTTCGGTAAAAATAAATGTCTTTACGAATAACCCAAGTGAATAGTACAAGTAGATTGATTACACTGCCATTCAGCTTTTTCGAAGGTATTTATAAATTCTTTTATTAATAAGTACAAATTCAATGGTGACAAATTGTGGTGAAAATTGGTATTTCTTGCACAATACAGTAGACTTAAAAATTAAAACACTACAACTGTACTTCGGTATGTAAAATGTCATTACAAACAATCAACAATCAATAGAATTTCTATTATAAACGTGTCCAACGCGAAATACAACTATATCTATCATTTTTCATGTTCAGAGAAACCATTAAGTAATTGTGCAAACACATAAGATCTGATTGTAACATAATTTGGAATCAATATCCCATTTTGTTTTTTTGTTAGTAATACACCTAGTTACTACACACAAATAAAATGGTGATAATGAACTCAAGTAATGGTATATAATTAATCCGAACGACTGTAGAGTACATGCATGATGCATGATTATGAATTAATATATAAATTGCACTTGGAACTGTTAAGTTAATAATATACATGAAAAGTACAAAGTAGGTGAATATCTATTAACTCAGTGTCTTGAAATAAGTAACAATGCTTTAAGGCCTATCTACGCGGTATGACTATATAGTTCTTGTATACAATTCTTATATTGGTGTATTAAAGAAAATGCTGATGCTAATATTTTCTTTCATACCAGTCCATGAAATATGACATATTTGCACACATGGATTTAAGTAATATGCCAGGATAAAGGATACAACTATACTATGCTCATATTGCGTAGATGGGCCCTTGTGTTCTTATTTAGGCATCCATGTCTTTTAATAATTTATTAATTGTTACACGTTTTTTTGCATCTTCGCTATTTTCAAGCAAAGTGGCTTCAGGGAAGGAGAAGAAATTCCTACCTTTTGTTGGGTATTTGATGTTGAATACATAGTACGAGCCCAAAAGGATAACAATGCCATTCACAAGATTGGGCTGTTGAAGTTTAGCAATGATTTCTCCTTCTGCAGCCAAGTAAAGTGGTGTGATGGAGCCACATGTTCCAGCTCCAATCAGCATTGGGGTGACTGATGCTCCAATAATTTTATCAATTGATTCATCATCCTAAATTAAAGGTAAGAAAGGTAATCAAGCAAAGTGGTCTTTGTTTGTTTGTAAAGTGGAAACAGTTGTGATTTGCTACAGGTACAATAGACCATACCCATTATGACATTTAATAACAAAATACAAAGAGCAGGATGCTTTGCAAGATTTTTCAGGCTTTTTAACCAAAAACCTAGCAAAGCATTTAAATTTTGCCATATAAAATGTTGTAATGGGTATGGTTTATTGTAACAAACAGTTGTTAGAACATATGGCTTCAAATTACAGAATAACATGAACCTGGTATATAGTCATATGCCTCTGATCATGTGTGAACAGGTTCATATCATTCTTATAGAAACAGCTATTGTACACTCTTAATAGGGTTTGACTCTTGCTTAAATAAAATAAAATTCATACAGTGCAGATTTTAATGACTGATGCTTCACTGGTTGTCTTCCCTTTCAGCAATATTTGTAGTATCATTACTGAACCATCTTCCTCATTTTCTAGAGAAGAAATTAGAGAAAAATAAAGATGGAGTTTTACATTTAATTAGTTGAAGGTACTGTTGGCAATTGTCATACTCTACCAATATGTACGATTATTAAAATCATGTATGACAATCATTGTGAAGCTGATTAGAAAAGAAGAATGATACAAGTTTTGTGGTATACAGACATTTTGGTAATCTTGATTCGACTTGCAGTCCTGAAATAATATTTTAAAGATTAACAAAAGACATATTACCACTCTTCCTTTCGGGTTCTTCTCTAATGCATTGTTCAATGGTGTTTAACAATTCATGGAGTTGTTTTGATGATCTTTTTTTTGTTTGCCCAACTGTTAATATTTTCGCCATTAACATGTTTTTGTAGGTTGCTACAATCTTCTTACATTTTACCATGTTTTTGACGCGCTCAAATTCTGATTTGAGCTATATAAAGTTAATAAAAGTAAGTAAATTTAGTGAACTGGTAAAATACAGTTTAATTGTACTGTACGTGCATGAATGCAGAAGATTTGCTAACAAAGTATTCTTTCGCCAGTTTTCATTACCAGTAAAAAGGTTTTTAAAATTTTGCAGGTGGAAACTGTATATGAGAAGCAAACAATACCAGTGAACTGTGTACACATGATATTAATAATACTGCACAGAAGTAGTATACCTCGGTGACCATCCTTAAAGCTGGATAGTCCGACAATAATAATTTCAAAGTTGTCGGACTTGTGAGGATTCGTTCTCGCCTTCTTTGGAACGTGGCCGACATGGATTCTTTGATCCCAGGTAAATTTCTGTTCTTGGTCTTTACCAACTCTTTCTTCATGAATGAGATATGTTCGTTGCACATCTCTTCAGTTTCTGGAGAAACAATAGGAATTTAATAGCAATAAGTTTGTCAAACTGTAGAACGAGAGTAAGCTCGGCTCGTTACATATGCTACGTTACGCTACGATACAGTTGAAGTGGAAAACGGGCTTTATGCTGCACAGGAGTGGGCAAATGATACGAAATTGCATATATTTGCTATAAAGCCCAAAGCCAACACATACAGTGAACAATTAACTCACTCCGATTGATTGTGTCTTGATTTCTAGTTGACTCCCACTGGAATTATGACGTCACAAGAAACCCAAGAATACTAATATGTATAATGTATACAGTGCAGTGCAGTACATACCAAGAACGTCATCGACTTCATTTCCTTCTTTCTTTTACTGGTTGTACCTGACGTGGACGTGGACGTGGACGTGGACGTGGACGTGGACGTGGACGTGGACGTGGACGTGGACGTGGACGTGGACGTGGAAGAAAGTGAGGCAGATGTTGAACGCACTACCTTTCGTTGATAGCGGCGTTTGTTTTAAAAACGGTTGGCAATCGATAGCTGCCATGATGCCTTAACATAAAAATGGTATGTATATATAAACCGCATTACAACACTTCATACATTAAGCCAGTTTTTTGCAAACCTTGAAGCGAAAACCTCAGTTCATCTACTTAATAAGTTATTATCTTCAACTGCACGTGTCAGTGTGCCCATATTTACTGGTAGTAATACTCTACTGACTATTTACGCGAGAAAATTAGGGTTAAATGTACCGTTCCACATCCAAGCTTGTCGGCGAGAAAAGGGTATTTCGATACAATTTTGAAAGCGACGTACTCCCTTTCGTGCTTTCGTGGCGTCATTGTGTGGAGTTATTACGTTGCAAACATCCCTGTTAAATTCGTTTCTTGCCGTACCACTCAATTTGCCATTCGCGAGTTCTTCGGTTACTGCAGGGGAAACTACAAGCCAAAATATATCAGAATTCAATTTAAAAATTGTGGTCCACTCATGTGATTCAACAAAACGAGTCAGAGATCAGACTCAGAGTTAAGTCAGAGTCAAAAAAATGAAAGCTTAGTAAGTTGCATGTTGATTTATTTTGATACCCGTTTAAACGACGTAAAACCTATTTTCTAATTGGTAGTTCGTTGTCCCTGGAACACGTGCTTGCGCAATATGTGAATCAGTCTTAATATATGTGGATTTTTGTAAAGTTTTCCCGACACTTTTTTACATCACTCAATAGACCTTTCCCATATTTTTCGAGCGCACAATGCGAGACGGTAGCTGAAGGTCAATTTGAGTTGTGATTTTGCTATGTCCAAGAGCGATTTTTATTGACAAAGAGGGAAAAAAATAAGCTTTTTTAAATACAAAATCACTCCTAAAAAGAGCGAAATCGCAACTCAAAGTTGCTTGATAATCATGCAACCACGGTCACGCATTGCGCTTAAAAGCTAAAACGGAAAAAGTCTATTCTCACGCAGACAACACCTATAACGATCGATCAAATAAGAACTAGCCAAACTACACTTCTTACCGTCAAAACGGCCTACGTTTCTAAATACATATGCATGCGCAAAAACGAACAGTTTGTAAAGGCTGCTTTCCAGTTACGCGTTTTTTTACACCCGTGCACGCTCGTAAAATTTTAAGTTTTATATAAAGTAATACTAAAACTTGCGGAATGTTAAAGACTTTTGCTTTATTTATTTGATTATAGCACGAGTAACATTTAATTTAAAGTTTTACGTGCATATATGTGCGTAAATAAAACTCGTAACTGGAAAGCAACCTTAACAATTAAGTCAAATATCAACAGGCCATAAATAAGTTGTTGGAACAAGATGTTACAGTAGCGACTTGAACCAAGCTTTTTGAGATTAACAGATTTGTTGCACTTGGCAAAAACGTGTTTTTTACAGGCATGAAGGTTGACAACAGATTGTTATTATATTGTTATATCTGCAGGCTTGTATCGGACAAACAAAGTTGTTAATTCCAAACTGACAACTTGCGACAAGAAGTGGGAAGACAACTTATTGACGGTTTGTTGGCACTTAATTGTTACAAGATGTGAGTTTTTACCTGTGTGTCAAAACGTTGTTACTAGTCTAGCTGTTCATACGCTGTAAACAAGCTGTCTTTTTTGTAGCAATTAAAGATCGTGCTAACAATTGTTGCAACCATAACAATAAAGGATGTTACAAGGCAGCATTTATAGGCATTACAAAGCAATTTTGTTATATATATCAGACTTTCAGAACAACCTCGCAATTTGCAACAAGTCTGCTAATTTTGGCTAATTCCAAACCTGTCAACAACTTGTGAAAAGCAGTGGGAAGACAACTTGTTGACAGCTTTTCAGCAGACTTGTCATAATTAGATGCGAGAGTTTTATGCAGCCGGGTTTTAGTCACATGACAGAACTGAATAGTTTAATTCCCTTCTTTTTATAATTATTTACCTTTGTAGGTAGCTCGAATGTCGAAAGCCACTCTTTGTCTTCCTTAACCACTTCCGTTGTAAACGCCGTTGTTGGTTCACTGGCCGAGATGCAAGACGATATGTTGATGCACGTAGGGGGTGGTGGATTAGCTGTTTCATCGACATGTTCACCATGCGCCGGATTGTCACAAGAAACGAGAGCTCTGTCATTTCTGACAGGTCATCTGCAATGATGGGCGGATCGATAGGAGAGGTCGATGGAAGAGATATTTCCTCAATGGCCTTCCGTAACCTAACAATTTGACCAGCTTTAATGTTACAAGCTTTTAATAAGTCGTCGCTTGTTGCTTGTAACATTTCTAATGTATCCAGCTATAGAAATAAATAATTTGTGCAAAACTAATTTGCCTCATTCGGACTGAGATATTTTGATGACAAAAATTTGTAGCAGGCTTCATGGTGTTTCGTTCAATTGACCTAAGTCGGACTTGGTTGGTAGGTTTAGGGCTCGAACCTATCACGTTTGGAACCTCGAAACGGGAGGGTACGAACCTCTCACTTTGGCTTTGGAACCAAGTCAATCTTCAACTAAGATATATTGTCACGCACATGCCATTTTGCAATTAACCGAGACTGGCAATTTATTAAATATCTATACATATGTTCCTGACGAAAGAGATGGATCGCCAAAGTCGAAGAAAATATTCAATTTGTTTCCAACTTTCTGTTTTATGGTGGGGTTCTTTGCGCGGCTAAGTCGATTTCAGGATTCGTATATGACTCTTGTTTAGCAAGATCCCTTAAATTAAAGAGTATTGAAAGAAGATTCTGTGAATACATTTGATTTGTACATACCATGCATATATATTCATATATTACTACATTATATCGCTGTCAGACGGGCTAAGACTAATTTGAATTTTCCAACAAATCGGCGTATATTTTCAGACCCTTTATCAGGCATTCCTTGAATGTATGTTAGTTAACAGAATTAACTTCCATTTCAAAATAAAATGATTTGCTTCTCCGCGTCAAGTTCCAAAATTCGAAGCGGACAAGCGGGACAACATGCACAAGCTATATATATTACCATAAGCTACGAAACATCGGTACTCGTTTTGACGTCACATCAGCAAACATGGCGGCTATAAAAGTTCGCATTTGATACCGAGGTTTGAGGGCGAAATTAGTCAAATTACTTCACACACAGAAGTCATATATGCATCAAATTGTTTCTAAAAGACTAAATATTTGTTTAGGCTAATAAAAATGAGGTCGAAAATTTCGTTGCAGTAGCACAAAGATCCTGAGAGAATGTACATATTATGTAAATAAAAAAGTGTCCAATATTCCAGGGGCAAATTTAGGATTTTTCATACCTTATTCAAAAAGTTTCAGTCAAGAAATTCGGGGGGGGGAGATGTCGCATTCGTCAGGGGGGTGCAGTTGCAATGTGACCGTTTTCGCCAAATATCAGGGCTTATCAACATGCCTAGGAAACAATCAATGCAATCTCCGACGAAACGTATTTTACGGCAGCATATAGATCGCAAAGTTCTAAATGAATGTTGATATGACGCGATGCTGATGTTCACATCGTAGTTTGTTTTACGGAATTATGCCCCTACGCGGCTACGCAAATAAAGGAAGACAATCTGCGCTGGCTTGCACGGCTGGCTCACATCATGAGAGAATTGTGATTTTCAATAGTTTGTTTGGGCAGTTTGTGTAAATAGACAAAAAATCAATCTGCAAGCAGGCGAAACAGTATTTAAGGCAGTAGATTCTGTAGTTCTATATAGGCACATTTCCAAAGGTAATATGACGCCACGTTATATATAAAACACCTTAGTTCTCATTTTGTTGTCGACTTTAGCCTTTAGTGTAACTCTTCGCCCAGCCGTGCTCGCTGTTCTTATAAGGTTGCACCACACGGTCCAAAGCCTGCTTCCACACAGTATTTGTGCAGTGTAATTGCTCTCGGTATTAAAGCCACTCATATATCGAGCCAAAATAACCGAACAGATTGGATGCTGATGTTTGTCCGAATATTCTTAACCCTCCAAGCAACCTCTAAACCCTCCAAGGTTTTCCGCATTAATTACCATAGGGCTTTACATAGAAATTAGGTGAATTTTGGTTGCTTTTGTAAGGACAACGCGAGTGAAGTCTCTTCGTCGAATCGTCGTCAGAGGCCCCATGGCCATGACTTTGTTTCAATATTAGTACATTACCCGGAATATAGTTATATTCCGAATCATTATCAGGAATATAGTCATATTCAGAGTCAAACGACGTTTAGACATTGTCGATGCAGTGTAGTCAGTGAAAATCAATGATTGTTCAGAATAACCCTAACCCTAACCGTAATTAAGGTACAGCCAGAGATACTATTACATAAGTATATGATCACTCCTATACTGGGTATGAGGGTAACAGACATTTACATTTTCGTGTACATTTATAAATGTATCATCATTCATCGCCATTTTTATTTTATCATTTTTATGAACCAGCTCTAGAAAGACTTCATGTCAGACTTCTGTTATTATACTTCCGTTATTGCAAAATTTATGGCGTCATGTACGTTAGCTGGATATGATCTAACGCCGACCAGGTTCCTCGTACTACGTAACTAGCACCAGTTCACTAACTCACGGTCAACATTTGCAGTTTGCTGGTATTTAGTCATAAAAAAGCTTAAAAATGTACAAAAAATCCTAAAACCAAACCGAATCCTCATTATTAGGCACCTAAACTTTTCATTAAATTGTCAAGTCCAAACTACGTCTTTACTTGATGTTTGTGTGACGTAGTCCTAGGGACGTGTCGCAGTGAAACCTGGTATATATCTTCTGTAGTGCCCGAGTTGGCTTGTCAGAAAAGTTGAAATTTTACGAGGTTATCAATAGGTGAAAAAATCTTTAGTTCGTTGAAATATCCATCCACAGGGTAAAAATGAAACGAAACACAAAACTTAATAACCTTTTTAAGTACTTCCCTTCACTTTTAGCATGTTTTAAAGCGTTTTAGTCACCGGAGAAAATTTTTTTTGCAGTCGTGAAAGGGAAATTCAGACAATGAAAAATAACTTAAAAACAAGAAGAATTACCTCTTCCAAGCGCAGAATTTCGATGATTTCTTCCCTCACACCGTTACTCGTCAGCGCTTGAACAAATTGTTGATCCATTTTATAGGAATAGGACAGAAGAAGACTTTTTTAAACCACTAAACTGAATTTTACTTCGAGCAAAGCAAGCAGCAAGCAAGAAAGGCCGAAGAAAAGCAATCACGTGACCTGTGAATTTGTACTAACCTATACACCCTTAGGATGAATAATTCTCCGATTAGCTCGACTATCAATGATTGTTTCTTAATAAATTTATCGTAAACAATCACAAATACATTATATATTGGAGAAAAAAACCTTTTTCGTTCAGTTTCCTAACTTTCATTGGGTTTGCCCACATATGTTGGTACGGCTGTACTAGCCTACCCTACCCATATACAAGTGTACGATTTCTGAATTGGCGCGAATGTTATAGCTTTGCCTGCTTTGACATTGGCTAGCTAGAGCTCTATATAGTGTTCACTGGCTAGAACTAAATCTGTTCTAGACGAAAAATAAACATGGTCTACCGTTGTAATTTGTGCGTTCACTTCACATCTGTCACTCTTTGCAGATTAATTTCGCACTTGGGTCGTGTCCATCAAAACGACAGCAGCTTCCATGTCCTTTGTGGCATTGATGGATGTCCAAGGACGTATAAAAACTATTATTCCCTTAAGACACACTTTCATACGAAGCATTCCACAATACTGGAGAGGGAAAGGCAAAGAGTGCCCCAACGCAACGAAGATCCAGAAGAAATCAATAACGAGGATCACAACGACGATCATGGTGATAACGACGACGCTGCATTCGACTTTGACCGAGAAGTTGAACAGTGTAGGCGATCCAATGCTTTGGGCATTTTGAAAATAAAGGATGAGGCCAAAATTCCCCAAACGGTGGTGGAGTCAATCGTCAAAAGTACAACACAAGTTGTAAACAACAGTGTCGACGTTATCCAGCATGGGTTACAGCAGTGTTTACAGAATGCTGGTTTACAAATCGACGACATCCCTGGCATTGAAGAGCTGTTTGAAGAGTCCAGTAGCATCCGTGAACCATTTAAGGATTGCCACAATGAAGCATCCCAACTGAAGTACTATAAAGAAAATTTAGGAATGGTGGTGAGTAAAATTATATACAAATACATAATATATACCTCTATAGTGTGTATTAAAAATAATGAATAGCAGAGTAACTTTTTTATGACAGGAAAGAAAAGTATTTGACATGTTGCACACTGTGACAATTTTTATGATAAAATATTCTAGCAAATTAAATAACTCAGTCAATTGATCCCTTATATTTACAGGAGCCTGAAAAGATTGTGTTAGGCAGATACCACAAAAAGGTCAGGAAGGGCAGCAAACTTGTTGATGTTGAAAAAGAAGACAAGGCATACTATGTGCCATTAATAAAGAGCATCCAGCAACTTTTAACCAACGAGGCTGTTGTTGAAGAGGTACATGTTGTGGCAGTGCATGCAATCACTATTGATTCTTAATAAATGTTTCTGGGAGATACATTTTGTCACTTTACCTACAGATTCCTTTTTTGATAATTGAAATTGAAAGCTAATATTTAAACTGATGGCAGATACACCAAAACCTATTTTATAGGCCAGAGCCCTTAAAATTTGAATTTTAAGTGTAAAATTTGAGTAATTATTTCAGTAAATTATTTAGATTAACCATCCTCATAATCGTGATGATGGGTTGATGGCAGATTATTGTGATGGTGAGGAATATCAAGCACATCCATTGTTCAGCCAAAATAGGTATATCACACTGTTGTTGTATTAGTGTTGTACAGAGTGTACAAGTTCATATAGCTTTTCCTAATTTAACCATACATGTAAAAATGGCAAGTGGCTTTATTTGGTAATGTTCAATGTGTGACAATTTTTATGAATATGGGTAACACAAATAACACATAGCCTTAGATCTCAGTGCCTAAATTACTTTTAGTCAGGAATGAAGTCAATCAGTAAAGTACTAAAGATCACAAGTAAAACTTAGAATTTAGTTATTAAAGACAATAGCTCGCGATCAGGCACAGCTGTAAACCTTGACATTGTCTGAAATAAATTACAACTAACCAATTGATTATTTGCAATTTTTATTTTCATGTAGACATACACTTCAAATATTCCTATTCTTTGATGAGTTAGAAGTGTGCAACCCCCTTGGGTCACGAGCAAACACTCACAAAATAGGTAACAGTGACAACATTGGCTAATGTTCATGAAATGTACTTTGTGGGAGAGCATCATTTAATTGTTCACATCAAACAAAATTAAAAAAATTATATTTACTGTACTTACTTATATTTACTGATATTTCCTTAACTCAGGCAACTTCTACTACACACTTGGCAACATATCACCAGATAAACGGTCAAGTCTTGGTGCAATTATGCTGGTAGCCATTGTAAACAGCAAACATCTTAAAGAATACGGTGTTGCAAGTATCCTTAACACAATCATGGAGGACATCAGATTACTTGAGGAGGTACCATACATCTAATATATAATAAAAATTAATAGGTGATGTGCTAGTATGCCCTACAGTATGATTGATGCTTTATGTATAGCAAAATATATATTTTATAATATTTTTAGGTAATGTGCCCCAGTGAATCCTACAGTACTTATTCTTTCCTTTGACAGATGCCAGATTATTTTATTTGTCAATGGGAAAGCTTTGGCACTTTATTGGTTAAATAAATCAATTATACCATCATGATTTATACTGACCACACTGCCACACCACTTTTTTTTCTTGGTAAATTCAAAATTTACAGATATAAATTTACTTATGTAGGGTGTTGAATTTGATGTTTGTGGGGAAAAAAAACAAATCAAGGGAACTATTGCCTATTCATCTGGAGATAACCTTGGCTCCCAACGATTAGGAGGATTTAAGGAAGGATCCCTGGCATACCGAAAATGCAGAGAATGCCTGGGACTTGCTGAGCAAATTCAAACCATGGTACACTTGAAAGTTTTTAATTGACTACGTATACAGTAAAGGATTGACAATTAATTACTGACCTGATCACCTTATTGAAGTGTCAATTGTATAATTTTAGTTCCATGAAGCTGACTTTACTCTTCGAACAAGGGATGGCTATGAGATTCATTGTCGACGCCTTCAACAATCTGAACACTTCAGCGTAACATTTGGTTTAAATAGGAGGTCTGAGCTGAACAACTCCAGATTTTACCATGTTGTCGGTGGATTATCAGCTGATGCAATGCACGATGTTTTGGAGGGTACCCTGCAGTATCATACCAAAGAGATTCTGAAATACTTTATTCTAGAAAAGAAAGCATTCTCTTTGGATGAACTGAATAAGAGAATCACCTCCTTTATTATGGGTATGTGACTAATGTAAAATACTCCAGGTCTGGCATGTTCAAAGGTGGATTAGCCCTAATCCTGGGTTAAAATTTCAAAACCTCAGAGAAGTAAACTCCTATCGATCCAAACAAGATTCTGAAGGAATATTTCCGAATTTATAGACAAGCTGTCAGGAAGTTTGAAGGGAATTTTTAAGTTAACCTCGCTAGTATATTCCACGAGTATGATATTGTTTGGAGACAATCAGAGGTCATTAACCTGCACAGCAATTCGTAAAATTTTGCATTATATCAAGAATTACAACTTTTCATCACGTTACTGCAAGCCAAATGTTGAGCCAAAGGCCTTTTAACAAATATGTCACGATCAAAGGAATTCTTTTCGTGCACGTCATTTTAACGATCCAAATTTGATCAGACTTGTAATGACTATATAGAAATTAGTCTATTTATGAGCATAGTAATGTGAAATTAAATTTTGTAAAAAGTGAATGTTCATTTATACCAATTTTAAGTTTGGGAAAATCAATTTTAATACAATCAACAATAGTCAATATGGCGCGCCGGCGCGTCACGTTCGGTTTCAAATCGGTTTCGGTTTCGGTTTCAAAATTTCTGTAAAACTTAAATGTTTAATATCTAAATACATTTAGCGGACAATATACTGCACAATGTGCATTCGGGAAATAATTTTTAAGCAGTTTGACATTGTAAAAATTGCGTTTGGACAATCGTCCAGCTTGTGATATTTCAATACAAAGACTAAATAAAATTAGATTTTTTGTTACATTTTGTCACAACTTAAGTTGCATCCACCACGTTTAGTTTTCAGCTGCCAAAAAATATACCAGCTGTTACAATGCACATTACTACATTTTTTAAAAGAAATTTCGATTCTTACCTTCTTCTGATGTTTATTTTGCATGTAAATTTGACTGTAAATTCTACGCGAATTACAATAAGCGAGCACATCCGTATAAGCAAAGTACGGCTGTTGAGTGTTGACGTCAGTGACGTGTGCATGAACACGTGGTGCAGTGCACCGGAAAGGTGATCCTGGTAAAATGGAAAAGCCACATTTTAGGCCTGGTTTATACGTCGAAATTCCGTCGGATTTAATTTAAGTCGCATGTTTTCTCCAAAGGGTTGCCCCTCCCAGAATTGAACTTACGCTATGACTTGTAGTATCAAGAAATATTACAGAAGCAACCTTAGCAATATTATGTAACAAACACTACCTAGTATTAACTCAGTATTAAATCTTTTTAGCAACCTGGCATGCATGCATGCAGTAAACTGATCATCGCAGTAAAAACCCCTAGCAGTATAATAGTATTTGGGGAATTAATTGTTCCTACAATGTTTTAGCTACCACAACGATTCTAACAAACCTGCGCCAATTTTGCGGACAAAACTCACATCTGATGATAACAGTCTCAAACAACATGGTAAGATATACAACTTATTATATATTATATCCAACTATTAAATATCCATCTTCGACTCCATATGCATAATACTATAAGCATTTCATTACAAAACATGCAAGAAATATTGTGTAGATTTCAAACTGATTTCAAGAATGTTGATGACATTTGATGTACACGCCTAAAAACGCACGCGTTGATGCACGTTGATATCAACTTGTTCGCGGTTGTTCTCGACAGGATTGAACAATGTTGTGCTGCACCCTGTCAACAAGCTTGTTAACAATATTGTTCGTGCGTGTTAAAACGATGTTGTTCACGGTTGATGGATGAACAAGACCTGAACAAGTTGTTGCAACAGCCCAAATCAATCTGATATCATGCGTGATTTACGATGTCAACAATCGTAAACAATGATGATTCAACATTGCGTAAAACAGCATGATGACAAGCATGTTGAATGATGTTTTAACAGCTCAAAATATGTTGTTCCAACAACATTGTTTTTTCAATCTTTGGCCGGGGGGTGTTCGCCGCCGCCGCTACAGTTCACTGCGCCGCCATGCCTGTGACGGATCGAAAATGAAAAGTATCCGTTTCACCAATGGAATAATGTATTCATTTTAATTTAATAAATACAAAGGTACGACTTTATATTAAACTTTTTAGATAAGCAAAGTAAATTAACTCTAAGTCTCTAACTGCTTGACAAATAAATATTTCTTCCCGTGTATAAAAGCTCCTGCGATTCAAACTTCAAAGTAGTTTATATAAAACAGTTTTTAACTGCTTTAATAAAGTATTAAACAGCTCCATAAAAACAAAGGTCTTATACTCATATGAGTCTGAATTGAGAGATGAAAAAATATTAATTTGAGGATGCATTAGCGGCTTAACTGTCAAATTACTAATTACTGCAATACATTATTTGAAACCACACCCTGTAGTAATAATTCTATATTATGATTACATATATGTTCATACATAGATTCATGAAATATTGAAATATTTAAGGGATTCCCCAAGATAAAACTTGTTCACCAAGTAGTAACAATGATTTGTGTTTGAACAAACTTATATGTTGCTTTACTCACAGCCTCCCTTTCAACTGTCACAGTTGTTTGACTCTCTTTATAACAACATCTTCCTGCAGAGCAATCATGGATGAGGCATACTTGTTCAATAACACACTGAGGTGACAACAATTTCACTTGCCCAGTTAGTTCAACCTTGGGACACTGAAATGCTCCGAATATTTGGTTTTCCAATTCATCTTTGGCGAATCTCACTTCCTCAACTGCCACAACTTCTTGGTCAGGATTTTTGATCTTGATTCCTTTTTTGAAAATACCAATGATGCTGAAATAAGCAGTGATTGATTAATATTTTTTGCGCACATTTTTGGTGAGTTCATTGTTACTTAATTAAGATTATATAAATATGATTGTTGTGAGACATCCACGCATGAGATATCAATGCTTATACTGAACAGGAAAACAATGGTTATAATAAAATTAAAAGTATATATAAGGTGATCGGAATGTAATTACAAAGAATTAAGTCAATTGTAGAGTTTGAGAACGTAAATACATTTGGTTATTCCTATAATATATGTTCAATTATCTTGAATGCATCAGTAAAGCCTTATTGTGGTACTATATAATAACTGCAGGTGTTACTAATGTGTTAACCTTGTAACAATGAATTTGAGGCCTCTAACATTTGTTTCATATACTCATGTTGTATTAATCTTATATGTACCTGATGCTGGTCATCCACATATACAATGGCTGAACCTGAATTAATAAGAGTTTGCCTCTCACTAAGAACAGCTTTAAAGGATGTGACTTCTGTATCATAAGGGAGACCAGCTGCTTCAATTGCGACTTGTTCTAGGCACTCACTCAGAGGCTTTGTCTGCAGTTTCCCTTTGTCATAGTTTCCCTAAAACAAAGAGGCAGTCAATTATTGATGTTTTAAAGTTTTAACTTCATTTCTGTTACAAAATTATAATTTATATATGAACTAAACTACAATATGAAATAAACTACAAATTGTTTACTTTTCTTAAGCATCCAGGGTGATAAATTGCTTTATCTTCCATGCTCTCCTTCTTTGGGATGTTGTCCAAAAATTGTTGCAGCTTTGGTTCTTTTGCCAAGTTTTTGATGCATTCTGATGCTTGTAAGCTAATATGTTATATATAGAGTACATGGAATTAATATTATGCAAGGCACATGGACAAGCTGAAGCAATTCTTGCAAACACATCTGATATCAACTATATATTGCCTATAGCAAACTTGTTTGTTACAAGTATATAGTCACCTGTGGTCTTTTCCCCATGTTCCTCCTCTTAGGACAAAGCGAAGCCTTTCCATCTTAGCAAATTTTGTACATATATCTAAGCTTGATGCATGCCTGTTGCTGTTTATATTTAATCCTCTGATGAAATGATTGAAGGCCTCAAATCTAAAATATCGATTTATTTGGTGTATTAAAAGTTTGTAAACATGTTTATATAATTATATAGGTATACTGTGTTTTTTCAATCTTGTCGTTAATGTGTGGTTTTACCTTTCAGTGCAGAAACCATTTGCTGGCCCCAGGCTTTCAATGTCATCAACAAGATGTAGCAGGAGATGTACTTTAGCCTTCTTTTGAAATTCAGGGTAGGTTCTTGCCACTGCATTTGTAAATTTTTGGACTAGCTGCTTTGCTGCTTCTGAGTTCCTCTTGTCAAATTCACTTGAATATGCTAAGATGAATATCTACAATGAATATTGAACATAGAATAGGTATAAAGATCTTGAGATAGAGAATTTTTGGATTCCATTTTCACAGGATTATGAAGAGTTATCTGCTGCTCAAAAGTGCATTGACAGTCACCAAGGTCTAACAATTAATTCCAAAAGCATATGTTAATTGTTAATATGTTATGTTTCCTATATTCCTTTCAGCACATGTATTATGTATCTGGTGTTATACCTCGCTCAACAATTCCCAGACCAAGAGTTGTTCAAATGGAATGATATCTTGCAGAACAAAGACAGCAACTTGCATCCACAATTTGTAATCTCTTCCAACATATGAGCCATAGTTTCTTGTGATGTTTCCCCTGATTGTGGCTTAAAATGCACTCATGTCAAGTGCTTGAATCTTTGCATGGAGCTGGTTTTTCAATTGCTGAGGTAGGGATTGAATTGTGTTGGATAGCATATACTTAACAGGCCCAAGTAGAATTGTATGCAGTATTTCAATAGGAGTTTTGCTAAATAAAAGCAAAATGTAATTAATAGTACCAATAGAACAGGTGCTATAGAAGTTGCTGCTTATATCCCACAAATTTACAAAAGGGTATTATTACCACCTAAAGAACACCTTCAACTGTAGTATTGTAGACAGTAGTAGTAGTAGACAGTAGTAATGTACTGTCTACAAGTTTTGCAAGGTGAAAATGCCAGTAATCGCACATTTGGGTCGCCACACATTTCGAACCGTATCTGCATACATACTTATTTCCACGAAAGCACTTCAGCTTGTCGAACGCTCCGCCTTGTTCTGTTACTCCGCATTCACTTCTTTTAATTTTTTTCTGGTTTTCAGTTCTAGTGTTGGCAACAAGAATTTTACTGTGGGTAAATACGGTTTCAAATTTCTATGGTAAGTCAAAATTTTAAAATAAACGGGTTTTTATTAACATACGGACAATCTTGTATTTCATGGATCTTCTCTTGAACGTATTCATCACTTCGTATTTCTTGAATTTCTGTTCCATTATCAGATGTTGCCTATGGTGTAATTAAATGTTTTAACCTCGCGCACACATGCATGTATAACATGTAAAATCGTGTATTAAAACGCAAAAGGGCAGAGCCTCTCCCCCATTTATTGCCTCTAGATTTCCGAAACCGCGAATTTCGAGTCACGAATTTGGAAGTTGCTTTTTATCAAGTATATAGAAATTAACGTACCTTTACACTTTCTACAAAATTTGTTTGCACAGCTTCCCAAGTGATGTTCGAATTCTGATGCCCGTGGATTGTCCGCTAACACGCATAATACAGGTGACTTTACCAAAATGTTCTCATTAAAATGCGCGTCGTACATTAATTTACCTTCTTCGAGTTCTGCAACGAAATGAGACAAAAAGACTGAGCATGTAGCACTATTTTTGTCGTTTTAAACCATAATTTGAAATTTTGACTCTACCTTGTAGGTCACAGGCAATGGATTTCCCAAGTGCAACAGACGGAACTACGTTAGATGTGCTAATAAAGTGAATGTTTTCGATTTTTCGAAATTCGTTTCGTGGAAGGCCCGCCAAACTCATCGAGAAACTCTCCAACCGATTCCATTTCTTCGTTGTGTTTCCGCTTGTTTCGTCGCTAAAGACGAGCAACGGAACTGTGGAAGTCGGATTTTTTCCACCGGATTGTATCCTGTCGACGTGTGGTGCAAGAATGTCTTTGGCTTCCTGTGATAAAAAGGTTTTAATAATAAAACGTTATTATACAAAGAACAAGAAACCGCGTATGGATTTACATAAATATATGCTACTGTTTAGGAGTTTATTAGTTGCGCAAACCTGTTCTGATACTTCAGACGCTTGTTCGTTTACATATTTCTGCTTTATTTGACGAGGATGTAGATCAACTTTACATTGGATACTGGAAGTATGGATGGTCACTATCACATCTGGACAAATGCAATAACGTCCATCCCCTTCATCTTGAATATATTCGATTTTTGTCAAAATTTCCGTTTGGTTGCGAATGACCTAAAATTAAACTGACACTATAGAAGTCGCAAGCCGGTTACAAATATAGTTCAGCTGATTCGAGTATGATTATCTTTCCAAAATCGTAGCCCCTTATTCTCTAAAGTTCCTAGGTAAACGTGGAAAGCCAACCTAATATATGGGTCTAAAAAATCGACAACCCATCATCCGTTCCGTGTTCGGAGAGGACTGGAAGCCGGACAATCTTAATGGAATCTGTTTTTAAAGCACTGCACACTTACCTTAGCGAAGAATTTGGTTAGTTTTCCTATATATATATCCCCGTCAGATAAAAATTTCACGATATCTTTCAGATAATACGTCGTTCCGTTCACAGAGATCGATGAGCTTTGAAAGTCTTCGTTTTCCAACCACTTGCGTCCCTGTATCAAAGGGAATACATGTACTGTTCATTCTGCAGTTCAGTGTACGCGTTATCTTGCTTCGTGTGCATGGTATAAAACATTTGGACAAAGTTGTACCCATAGGCGTACGGGAAAGTGAAGCTGGGCTCCCCCTCCTCCTTTTCGGGCAAAACGTGTCTTGTCATTCAGGCAACGACGTTACAACGGTCTATTTAGAGGTATTTCAACAAGTTCAATTTTTACAGGTTTACTACAAATAGCGTAGATTGGATTTGGTTTCGATTCTTACGCATATCCACAGACTGTAAATGATAGCCTTTCAAAGGAAAGTCTGTCACCTGTGGTCTTCTCAGATCATATTTTTATGATGACGTCACGAAATCTATGACGTCATGTCTTCGGACAAATTTAGTCCAGCCCCCGTACGTATGAAAATCTGCCCGTACGCCTATGGTTGTACCTATAAATCTAACCTGTGGCATCTCGTTAATATACGTGTCCGTCTCTTCTGGAAATCTCATAAGCGCACTGGCTCTGGTTGGTATTGCGAGTTGAAGTTGAACGATATCCGAAGGCCGTAACCAGTAATATGGATAGCCGTTGTAATAATCCTAGAAATTGAAATGTTTACCTGTGTTAATAAATGGCCTTAATTGCACTTTGTACATTGGCCTTTTTTTAACGATCTTAGTCGGGCTTTAATCTGTATATAATACAGGAAGACATGGAAACCCAACCGCATCGTGTAATATTTACCTTTTGTGGCTGTAGTAACTCCTCTACTCCCTTAATTTTGAAATTAATCACTGAATTAAGGGAAGGAACATCTACGTGAAGTTTCTTGAATATCATCCACAGAAAATCTAGGTCTGCACGAGACTGAAAGTAGCAATTTAAATAGCAGAATTGACTAGATTATAATGATTACAATTGATGGTATAAATAGCTATTGCATTATTGTTTTCTTTTGCGAACTATTTGGTTATGAAAATGGAGAGCAGTAACTGATGATAAAAAAATGATAAAAAAATTTAACCATGCCAACCAGAAATACGAATATAGTATCGATATTCTAAAAATTTATTTGAAAATTGTTACAAATGTACTTCTTAGCCCCTGTTCTGCCGCCCCTAGAAGCTATGAAATAGGTTCATGTGCAATGCATGCACACTGTTTTAGCATGAAACAAATAATCTTGGAGAGGGAAACCTTGCAACTTATCTGTAGATGAAACTCGCTGCTGTAGTTCGGTGTGTGTTTGACTGGTTGTACGACAAGAATTGATGTTTTACTCCAGACTGAAATAATTAATGGCCGTTTTCAACTACTAAAGACGCATAATACGCCAGGACCAGGGCGCTTATATAGAGGCTTTTATCTATGTGTGCGCCCAACACCAATAACAAGGCGTAAAACACATTATTTTTACATGTGTTTCACGCCTTGTTATTGGTGTTGTTACGCGGCTATTTAGGAAACCTTTCGCGGTGCTGGTGGCTTTTTTTAGTCCTCCATCCGCGGTGGAGCGAATTCAGAAGTACCTGCGATCAGAGTTATGGTAAAGTTAACCCGGCTTTGAAAACTAGAAACACTTCGTCATACACTACATCAGGGCAAAAATCGTCAAATCGCTTTATTCAATTCAATTCTTTGATGATAAATGAAAAATTACCTTCGGTCGGGAAACGTTATGGACGTAGCTGTAAAGCAGAAAAAATATCTCAGACGGAAACGGAAAGTATAAGCCGTTGCCTTGCTCAGATGGTCGTAGCATATTTTCTCTGTCGCTTTCTTCCTCGCTATCGCTTTGCTCCGGCTCAGAGTCGCTCAGGGCGACGTCACTGAAAGTATCGTCGCTTCCACTGTCAGAGTTATTCTCAAAGCTAATATCTTCGCACATTGGTTCTTGCATGAATAAAAATTCCTGTTGACTTGTGGCATATACGTCGGTGGGTTCAAATGTGTCAGAAACCAGCTGGATATTTTGTGTCGTCGTCCTTGTCGCGAGCTGTTTCATACGATGTCCTCTTGAGGTTAAATGGACAGAATACCTATCCCACGACTCAAAATTAACTGCACAGATGTCACAATGATATCGACATGTTCTTTTTTTCATTTTTGCGTTCAAATTAAATCAAGAATTTTTATTTACCAAATTAAATATCCCTTTGTTTTGTTAAATTCCCCGCGACGTGCTTGCCTGGCAAAAAATTTTCCCGCTTCGCATTTAGCGATTTTGATTGGTTGATTTACGTAGGTACTTGTACCTGATTGGTCGAGCCAGTAAAGGACAACAACGCATGGATGCTTTTGCTAAAACATATTTTAAAGCAGAGTTTTTTAAGGCCAAATTTCGCGCCATATTTAATTTGAAAAATGACAACCAATGAATTAAGAGCATTGGGAGCTTCACGCAGGTAAATATAATATTAAATTGACGCGTTTCATCATTATTTCGAATATCTGGTCTTATAATTTCCGAAACACTGTAGGCGAAACAATTTGTTGAACGATGTTGACATTGCCCTCAACGGCAGCACGAGAAACGCACAAAGTCAGAGAGGACCGTATGGCCGTGGGAACTTTCCTGCTAATATATTTGACGGTAAACAATATTACATTTTAATATTTAGTATTTTCTGAAATTGTCTGTACATAGACATAATAGTACTGAATAAACTTTGACATTTTTTTGCCAGATGATTCGAAACGCAAGACCCGAATTTAATGAGAGAGCCGGACACGGAGACGATGATACTAAAGGAATTGAGAGAGCTGAAAGAAATGGTCAAAGACGTGCAGAAACGGCAGGCAACAATGGAGAAGGCAATAAAAATCTGGGCTCCAAGTTTGACAAGCAAGAATTTGACTTGGCCAAATCAAGCCATGCAGTCAGTATTTATTTATAAACAACCATGCATTTTTTGCGTTATATTTGGCACATAAGACTTTATTCTTTTTTTATAATCTACTTACTAAAACTATTATAACAGACAAATGTAACGAAAATATTGGCAAAGGCATACATTCAACTTGGACGGTTTCCCAAGACCAATGAAAGCAAGACTGTAAGTGTGTACATACACACATACATACATATGCATAACAACACTAAATATTTTCAGAAATACACTACATTTTGTTTTATGCAATATTATGATATGATTTTGAATTAAGGAACAACTACGGATTGAGTTCGAGAACTCACCATACGGGCTAAAAATTGAAGAGCTAATGAGCAAGGTTGACAAATTTGAGGGGAAAAAGTTCACATATTGGAGAAGTGAAGAGAGGAGAAGGGTAAAATTTATCAATCCAAAATGCTCTTGATTAAATAAGTGTTTAAATAATAAATTTAGTAAATTAAATGTCTCTCCACCTCAGATACTTGGAATTGGGAACTGGTCAGCCATGGAAAAAGCTTCAATCAAGGAGCTCTCTTCAAAGATTTGTGGGCTGCTAGGTGTGAAGTTCAATGCTACTCTAGAGAGTACAGTGCATCATCACACTGCTCTTGTGGTAAGATTATCACACATAATTTGTACTTCTTGCTTGTTGCAAGATCAAATAATTCCATTCTATATAAAAAGATTATATATGATTAAACAATTACTTTATGGTTTGCATGTTTGGATGGCCTGATCCAATAAAAAAAACTATTAGTTATCTATTTACTAGTATCTAACTACCAGTGCTATAGGATTATGCAATTGGGGAAATAGGTTTGTAAATTAGCATGTAATGGTAACCTTTTTGGCAAAATTTACCATACCATGCAGTGGAGCAAGGTTTTTTGAATTTGACTTTAGAAACTAGGCTTGATGTATGTAGATTAGATTAAATGTACTCAAAAACAACAGCAAAAGAACAGTTTTCTCAACGTTAACTCACCATTATCCTTCCTTTTTTCCAGAAAGTATATGTGGCTGAAACCGGTAGGGATGATTGTGTGAAGGATGATAAGTTTTGGATTAATTTCCAAACATGGAAGGAAAGAAGATATGGTGCAAGAGGGCCTTCTGCATCCGAGTGGGAGGAAATCCTACATGAAGAATGAAGAGGATAAAAACAATTTAAAAAATTTAAAAAATGATGTTTAAGAGTTTCAGAGTTGTAGTTAAAGTCTACAATGTTGATTTGAATTTTGAAAAATATCAGTTATTTAGAAATATAGTAATAATAATAGTAGCAATCAATAGTTGTCAATAAATTTTTCGTTTGCTGCTTAGAGAAGAACATTTTTCATTACCATATTTTAACAATCACTTGCGGCCATCTGACAGTGCGCCATTTGGTCGTCAGAAAAGGATAATTTACAATCCACTATGAGTCTTTGAGAATATTATAAAGTCGGATGTGATAGAATATTATAAAGTGGTAATAAGTCTTGATCGCTACCGCCGTCATCAATATCTCCTTGTAAAGGCTTTGAATTTCAGACTGGCATAGTGGTATACTTGTTTGACGAGGATTCTAATTTCCAACCACGAGGACCTTTTCAAGAGTTTCCAACGATGACATGATTCACATGATCTAAAGTCAATGACCAAGCGACTGATATGAATACATTCTGTTGGATGTTTTAGAATGCGAACGTAAATAGTTTCCAAGTACTCTTAGTTTAAAATAAAACTAAATCTGCCATACAAAGGCGCGTTGAAGTGATTCAAAACAAACTGTCAAATATGATCGAATCAGTACAGTCTCGTCGCGGGTCGCTAACGCCCGCCAAATGCCTGACACATTACACAAGGTCAAGGCGGAAGTCAATAAATATTCAACATTGACAACAATGCTTATAAAGGTTGTTCGAACAGTTGAGAACAACTTGTTGTTTCGTCAATGTTGTTCCCGCTTGTTCGAACATTATTGTTGACGCTTGATGAATAAACAGCGCTGAACAACATTGTTCTGACAGCATTTGTCAAGCATGTTTCATCAACCCTGTTGCAGTTTGTTCCATCATGTTGTTGAACCATTGTTCGTTGATCAAGCGTGAACAAGTTGTTTGAACAATGTTGATAACGATTGTCGGTTGAACAACGTTGTTCAACATTGATAACAGTGTTGTTCAGGCATTGTTCGATAAACAACACCGAACAACCTGATCAATTTTTGGCTGTGTAGCAAGTGATGCGTTTTCACGTTGTACGAAATACTTCATTTAGAGATATTTAGAGATACCTGCCAAAGATCATTGTTACAATGTTGCATTTTCAGGAGTTGTAAGTTCAGTTTTGCGTTTAAAAAATCCGTCAATGCTAGAGAAAAAACGCTCCAATGTCAAATAGCCACAGTCACAAGTATCACATGCATGTACGCTGCATAAACTTACTACCAGGCCTCCTCTTACTTTCGTTTTCTCGGCAAGTAACACGTCTAGGTTCTTCCAATAGGCATGCGTACAGAAAGGTAATGCACTGAACCCACCTTCTTCTCGATATACCGGTTATACCTATAGACCCTTTGCACTGACGTCATAATGATTAAAAGTTGTCCTCCAGAACTTTCCTTGCCTCACCAAAATAATCTTATTGGGGCGGTGAAGGTTGCCAACAACAGCAATTAACAGAGCACAGTTTTCACACAGGGCCGCCGGAAGCAATCAAGGGCGGGGAGGGGGGGGGTGCAAGAGACTCGAAAAAGGGCACTTTAGTTAGGATAGTGCCTCTCTTTTTTATTCTTCAAATAAAGAATGGAAGCTTATGAAATTCAAAGTTGGGCTGCTTTCCGCAATATGAAAAACGAAAATTACGAAATTAAGAACATAGATACGCTAAAATTTACTCAAATTATGAAATTATATGAACATAATTAAATATTTAAAGTTAGACTGATTACATAGATACATTCAATGTCAATTAGTATATAAAAGGCAAGCTGCCCCCGCGGTTTCGGCGCCCCTGCTCGCAAACTAGTCAATATTTCCGTATTTTGCCCAAATTTTACGTTTTTGCAGACATTAATTTGTCATCCAGATAGTGTGACGTCATGTGCAAAGGGTCTTTATACCTATACTCGTCACTGACGTCATGTGCTTAAACCAAAAATCGTAGTAGTTGGAAATGAATATCGCACCCGCCTGGGCTATTATGAATAAACATAAACTAATAAATAAACGCCATGGCTCTGCTAAATGAATAGAAATATCAGAATGTTCCTAATTTATAAATAATTGAAATCGAAGAAGCAGCATAGTTGATTTACATCATTTACTTTTTAGCAAATGAGATGTGGTGTTTAGGTCTATTTTTGCCGCTCCTGGTTGGCGAGTTTATCGACGAAGATGACGACCATTGGACTGCATACTGCACACTACTAGAAATAGTACGTATTGTCTTCTCTCCGCTGGTAAGCAAGGAGCAGATACCGTATCTTCAAGTGCTCATCCAGAATCACCACGAGAGCTTTAAAGCCTTGTATCCTCATGCCTCGATCATTCCAAAAATGCATTACATGATTCACATGCCAAGGACAATGCTACGGTGAGTAAATAATTAACCGTTTCCATTTATATATACGTATAGCCTAAGGAGGTGCATTTATGCATATTCATGTTCGCATACCGTAACAACAGACTGAACAGAGATTCTCTGCTTACGAATCAAATTTGCTTTTGAACGTAAAACATGAATATAAACCCCACCACTAGTCACTACCCCGCTAACTATTGTTCTAGCGATGGTCCAGATGCAGTTGGTGGCCGGTATGCAGCGTGTCATTTCTCACCCTCTCCCCAATTTGTTAAATAAACGTTTTTTTCGTATCCCCCTTTCGTACGTCTTCTTTTCAATCTTGTACCAAAGTGAACTGGAAAATTAAGAATGTAGGACGATTTTTTTAAATTGCAGTTTGGGACCGTTGATACGAATTTGGTGCATGCGATATGAGGCAAAGCACTCATACTTCAAACAGCTGGCAGTCTCGTGTGGCAATTTTATAAACTTGCCCTATCTGTTGGCTAAACGGCACCAAGAGGGCTTGTGTTATCGTCTTAACACACCAGACGGCAGCCACTCAACTTTCCTGGAAAAAGGCAACGAGATTGGTCCAGGTATTTGTGCTAATAGTCACATGCATGCATAACAACACACACTTAATTTTATCACACTAAATTTATCTGTAATCAAAGCGTATGTTGTACAATCATAAAGGAACGAAATGGATTTATATCTTGAAACTAATTTATATGATGAAATTATGTTTAATTACAGGCACTGAAATTCGTGCTGGCAATCTGGAATGCTACAATTTGCTCGAGCAAAGTTATCCTGCTGATCTAGATGATGATACCTTTGTGTATGAGTAAGTATTTTTCATTAGAACAACATTTATTATCCATACCCAACATAGTAAAAATGTATACTTCCATAATGTTATATGCTGCCTGGGTACTAAAATAACTACAATGGCTGTAACCCCAAAAGTAATTAAGACTGTAATTTAACCTCTTGAGTATTGTAAGTCAACCTTACTTCAAATACAGTACGGTATATACTAAATCACAGTATATACAGTATATTAAATCATACTTTTTTGGCGTCTTCGCTGTAGTATTGTGCTCTGGTCACTCAGTTTCATGTCTTTTATCCAAGGGCAAAATGGGTTGTTATTCATGGTACCAAGTACAAAAGAAATGCCATCATACATATCGGTTATGATAATGACGATTTGCCAAAATTTTGGAAAATCCAGAAGATATTAGTTGTTGCCAAAAACCTTGCAGCAATCCAGTTTCTTGTGCAGCCACTGATCACTGTCACGTTTGAAAGCCATCTCCAGTGTTATGAGGTCAACATTCCAGATGATAACGTTGAGATTGAAATTCGACAACACAAGGACTTCACATGCTACATCCCGAAACATCTCTGCCGGCCATATGGTCGCCGAGTTGGCGCCTGGTATGTGTGTATCAGATATGAGCTTGGCACCAACAGTTAGATGAAGAACAACTATGTAAAAATGTAGATAACAATGTAGATATGTAAATAACAATGTAGATATGTAAATAATAATGTAAATATGTAAATAACAATGAAGATATGTAAATAAAAATGTAAATATGTAAATAATAATGTAGATATGTAAATAACAATGTAAATATGTAAATAACAATGAAGATATGTAAATAACAATGAAGATATGTAAATAACAATGTAGATATGTACAATACAGTAAGTGTCAATTGAAAAAACTTAAGCAGGAGTTTGGCCTACTAAGTTGCAATGCACTCCTTACTTATTTTCTTTTTGAGAAATGTCAGACAATTTCACTGTTCAACGAGGAAGCTTTGGAGCTTTAAACAGCTTTGGAGCTTTAAACAGGTTAAACCAATAACCTGAAAAGCTTCCGCCACTAATATAAAATTTGACAACCTCCCCAGTTATTGCCCATTAAGCTAAAATCAGGCGTAGTGTGTCCTATTATCACTTTACTTGTCAGCATCAGACATTTTACTAATCAGTGAGTAAGCTCTTCAGCTTATTGCATCCAATAAGGTTGCATCAAGCCTAAATGTGCTCAATTGTTCACTACTGATTTTTTTTTCTTTGGAGAAATGATGGTAATTTCACTTGTCAACAAGGAAGGTCTGCAGCTTAATATCTTAAATAGCTTTCTGCTAACAAATGAAATCATGTAATCATGAAATCATTTTGGCTGTTCTGGTATGCAACATTTAATATGCAATTGTTGACTGTTGCATGACTAAATGGTTGGGCTGGCCATGCTACTAATGTTAAGTCACTCAGGGTATTATTGTAAAATAGTAGACATAGATATGTAAACAATTGCTCTGCTAATTTTTCAGTATTGAGCACTCTCATTTCTTATATGAAAGGATCATCAGTGTTTGTTATTCATTGGTTCATCATTGATTGCTCCTTCATTATAGGATTTTGTTTGGCCCACTTCGCAGTTGTTTAATATACTAATGTACCAGTTGTTCTAAGAGAGGTTTCTAGAAGTTTCTAGAAGTTTTCAAACTGCTGTTTTAGTTTGTGTATTTCTGCATATCTGTTCATTTAAAACTTCAGTTAAGTAAACTCATGCAGGCAATGCAGGCAAGAAAGATCTCTGAAGAAATACTTCAATATACACACACATAAAAGCTCAGTTTTCTGTGAATTTTAGATTAATTAATGTTAACCCAGTTTTAAAATATAACACAGCTTTGAGCAAACTAAGACCCCAAGGAGTAAATGTGTGGGTTGGAGCAAGTATACAGTATGTTAAACACCTAGAAGGCGGGCTGTATGTGATATACTAGTATACTCTCCTGACAAAGGCCCTCAGATCGAAACGTCGAGAAGTGTTTTGTCTATACCACATTTCATGCTAAGTGTTCGAAGACGCTGCCACGCTGCTCCTTGGTTATATTGGAACTAGATACGAGGTGTTCATACTTAAATCACTATTAAAGAGGTTTATGGGACTTTGTTTTTCCAAGCTAGAAGGTATTTGACACGTGTTTAATAGGGAGTGGTTTTATAATATTGCATATTCCTATAAAAATATTATACGGCATCAATATTAACCAGTTCATAATCAAGAAGATATCTATCTAGTTTACTAGTATAACACAGACCTTCAAATTCTTTGCTTCGATTCTTTCTTGATTCATTCTGTACTTTTATATTATATACAAAAAGATAAAAATGCCTTCTCAACTTCTCAACTGTTCTCAACTATATCACTCAACCAGCAGGATCCAGTGAACTCTATACAACTGGAACGATAACTCCTAACAAACATCTCTATTCAGTTTGTTTACAGTTCAATGGTATGATCATTTTGACACGTCACGTAATTTAACCCCTCAGAAGGTGTTATTTTAATCCCATTTCGCTAAGTCACTATTCGAATTCGCGCACCCAAGATTTAATCCCTCAAATAGTGTTAATTTAATCCCAACGAGGTGTGTTTTTTAACCCCAATATTGGGGTTAAAGTAGTTCAAAATTTTTAATACCCTTAAAAACCCTTTCATAGGGTATTAAAATAACACCTTGAAAATAACAGTGTGTATAGGACATGGAATTACAAGCATAAGAGAGCCTCGGTTGACGAACGAACATCAACTAATCGAGTTTGTTCCGCGTTCATCATGAAACTAGTATATATGTACACAAACATCAGAATCTCAGATTCTGACAAAAGAATAGCGTTGCATAATCGATTTTCGTCGTCTTATGTCTAGAAATTATCATATAAGTCTTTAAACACAAACTTGACCAATCAGAGTCTTAGATTTGGACGTTGCATAAATCAATTTTCGTCGTCGTTTGTCTTGAAATTATCATATAAGTCTTAAGCATATACTTGACAATCAGAGTCTTAGATTCGGACGTGCATAAATGAATATTCGTCTGGTTTCGTCCTTAGATGCAGGTCAACTTTTAGGACAAAGCACTAACTTCACTAACTAAGCACTACTTCAAAATTTTGGCAGCTTACATACCAATAGTTATTAAAAATCGGTTTAGTAAAGCGTATTGATTCATGCGTCCCCGAAGGATATAAAAGCGCATGATTTTAACTTCACTAGTCTTGTCTTTACAGAAATGTGCACGTAGCTGTCAAACTTTCAGTCGTCAGTGCAACGCGCTTTGTCTTAGTCATTCAAATTCCAACGGTAAAAGTCATAGCTTTTCTTTTCATCCAAAAGCGTTTATACTTTATACCCCGCATGATTTGAATGCACCAACTTGAACGATCCGTTCGAACGTAGGATTACTTTGTTTGCTTACTCTGGTCATAAACAACTTGGATTTTGTTTTCAGTCTACATACCTGTACCGTAAAATCCGTAAATGTTCACCATCTGATGCCTCTATATATGTTAGGCTGTGTTTAAACGACAAAATTCAGATGCAACCACATAACAAGCAAAACAAATTCCCATACTCACAGTTTGATGTACAGCGTAAAAAGAAAGCGAACAATTGGGATCCAAGCTATTCACAAACAATCGAAGTTAAAAGTCAAGGTACCCAATGCGAACAAATACCACCAAGTTATGACAGAGCATCGGGAAAATGTAACACTACTCACAATTTGACTTATGACGAATTACTACAGCAATACCTTGTAACACAGAGCACACCCTCGAATGGTTAAAAGATTAAAAGCTTATTTCATCATGCAGATACTGCCCAGTTTGTGATAAGGAAATGAAGTGGACAAAAACATATGATCGCTCTGACGGATACAAGTGGGAATGTAGAAAGCAAACAGCTAAAAAACGGCACAAAATTGAGCGCAGTGTAAGAGAAGAATCTTTGGTTTGAAAAGAGCAAACCTGACGATTCCAGAGATCATAAAGTTAACTTATTGGTGGTGTACTGATTTGACTGAAAATCAGATCAGCAAACAATTAAGGTTAGGATCAGCCACTATAGTCGATTGGTCTAACTTTTGTAGGGAGGTATGCGAAGTTACAATTTTGAAGAACAACCAACCGATAGGAGGACAGGACATTAGAGTGCAAATT